CAGTTCGCATTGATCCTTACGAACGCGAGAAACAGGCTCAGATGGTTTATGAGACGGCGCAGCTGCTTCACTGCGTGAGGGTGGGACAAAAATAGGGGTCGCTGAGACAGTTATCGGCGAGGGCAAACAGAATACCTGGAGAGGTTGACGGAGACAGCATTGGGGAGCAGTCAATGTTTTGAAGAGTTAATGGGAGAGGAGCAGGCGATTGAGGCGACAATGAGGGCGCGACGGAAGGCACATTCAAAAATTGAGTCTCCAACCTCTTTTTAGGTGGATAATCAAATTTATACTTGCTAAGCAACTTAGCTCCTGAGTCGAAATCACTCGCAAGCTGCTTAGTCATCTTATGCAGCTTTACAAAATGATTTCTCACGTTATGGTACATACGCGAGAAATCAAATTGAATATCAATGCACATAGGACAAGACCATTTTACACCGCCGCAGCCTTTTTTGGGCTTGGCGGTGATCTTATCATGGTCCCTCCCACTGAGACCAGCACACGCAATATGCATCATATTGTCACACAACCAGCAGCCTATGAACTGCAGTTGCTCACAATGCAGAGCATCTTTAAATGTGCAAGACTTCTTGAAGCACGACATATTAACCACACAAGTTTTATATGGTTAATTACAAAGAAAGCACAAACTAAAGTGCGCGAGCGCAAAGCACAAGCAACAAAACGGCAGAAATAAAAAGCAACAGTACTACGCTGAGCGACGGTAAGCGAAAGCTCTGATGCAAATTGATGAGAGCGGGGGTACAACAACAATTAAGTGATGCAAAAGAAAAAATGCACTGAAACACACACACAAACTTGAAGATCAGAAGGGAGACGCCAGAAAAACGGCAGGCAGAAAAAATAAGTAATAAGGCACTAACAACAAACACAGCAACAGAAGCCGAAATATTAAATAATAAATTTTTATACTTATCGCTGCACAAGTTATCACACCAAACACAACACAGTGTAGAGAATACACAAAGCAAGCTTTATATGCCCAATTATAAATTTAAGTTCCAAAAGAACAACCAAAAATTAAATAAAATTGCGGAGCACAAAAAGACGCGTCTGATAGACTCAAGAGAAAGCTCTCTTGAGCTAGTCCTTCAACGATGCCGTATGTTTGTCTGTAACAAGCAACTATTTACATTTTGGTCCTTCGAGCAAGGAAAACGACGAGGTCGGCAAAAGCGGGCCCATCCGAACTATATACCGGAAAAGGTGTCAAGAAGAAAAAGTGAAAATTAAAGGCAAACAAAAAGCTGAACCATAAAGGCCATAACCTTTAAAATAGAAAAGGATATAAGAATACCAGGCCAAACTCCTACAAAGTTTTGGCCGACAAATAAGAAGGAAGACCCCTGCAAACCTCTACCAGGTTTGGTAGAAGGACCAAGAAGGTCAAAGAAGAACGGTTCCCAAAGATCCCCTACACGGTTTGGGCCGCAGAAGCATCGGAAGCCAAGCCCCTTCAAGGTTGGAGCCACAAAGAAGAAACATCTAAGCCAAACCCCTACCAGGTTTGGACCCAAAAAGCGAGAAGGTCGCAGAAGGAAGAGCGTTTTCCAAAGATCCCCTACAAGGTTTTGGACCGCAGGAGAGAGAGAGCGGTTCCCAAAATTCCCCTACAAAGTTTCGAAGAATAACGAAAGCAGGTTTCAAATCTTTACAAGATTTGGGTCGAAGAACGACGACATCAGGTCCCAAATTCCTACAAGGTTTGGGTCGAAGAAGGACGACATCAGGTCCCAAATCCTTATAAGGTTTGGGCCGCAAGAGAGAGTTTGGGCCATAGGACGTCGAAATTCCTACAAAGTTTTAGGCGACGCAAAGAAGAAGATACCAAAACAAAATAAAACAAGTAAAAAAGCTAAAGTCGGGTGTCCCGACTTTGAAATATTCTGTACATATATATAGAATAATTATAAAAACAAGATAGAACGCTACAGTCGAGCAAGCCCGACCGTAAAATAGCCTGTACTCTCTACAAAAAAGAAAAATTAAAAAAAAAAAAAATTAAAAAAAAAAATTAAATTATTAAAAAAAATTAATGAATTAATTAATAAATTAAATTACAATACATGTTTATGTTCAGTTTTAACAGCATACATTTACATCACGTACCTATGCGTGTTTATATGCGTGTATGTATGCAGCACAAAGTTGAATCAAAGCAGCAACAACAACAACAGCTGCGGGCAGCGCTGCCGACAGAGCTGCAGGCAGCGCATGAGCAGCGATTTTACTTATGGCTATAACTTTCTTCAGAATTGACCTATCATGATGAAATTTGACACACGGATACATTAGTACATTTATTTCAAAATTCGTAGAATTACGGAAGTTATAAGAAAAAACACGAATTGCGGGGGAGTGGGGGGTGCATCGAAAAAAAACTCAAACTCGTACTTTCTCGGTCTTAGGAGAATATGGAAACCAAGTTTGGTTATTCTAGCTCTTATAGTTTCTGAGATCCTTGCGTTCATACGGACAGACAGACGGACAGACGGACAGACAGACGGACAGACGGACGGACGGACAAGGCTATATCGACTCGGCTTCTCACCCTGATCAAGAATATATATACTTTGTGGGGTCTGCCACGCCTCCTTCTGTGTGTTACATACATGCGCACAAAACTAGTATAGCCTTTCACCCTTTGGGTACAGGCTATAATTAATAAATTAAGAAAATTAAAAAAAAATTTTGATCGAATTTACTTCTATCGGTATTCGAACTCCCGTAAAGGGTGTATATTTGCAGATTTACAAAGCAAATGCGTCTGTGTAAGTGTATGTATGTCTGTGCGCGTCTATACGAGTCTGTGTGAACATGTTTGCAGTCAACCAAAACATCAGCATCAACAACAGCTGCGGGCAGCGCTTGGGCAGGAAATATATTTATGGCTTTCACAGAAAAATACTGAGAAAGAGGGCAACTTCAATCATTGTGAGGAAACAGGTATACAATCATTTGAATCTAGGAAACCTCCTGAACCCATAGTTGTAGACTTTGTCCAATCGACAAAAGGAAAATTAGATTCAAAACTAATACACAAACCTCATTCGAAGTTTGAAGAAAAATATTTGGTTTTATCAGCGATGCTACATTTGCCTCCTCTCCGATTATACAATTGGCAAACAATTTGGCTGTCAAAAACGCTGCTGCCGTTAAACAGATAGATTCAAAATAAGAAATACCACATTTTCACCTTATCACTATGGCAAGTGCTCACTTCAGAGGAATCTAAGGGGCGATGGTGGATTCAGTAAAACATTACAAAAATGAATTAGTAAAAGAACGCAAATCAAGGCAATACTGAACTCCAGGCCACGGTTCGAAGACATAGAACGGAAATATAACAAAGAAATTTCAGTATTGGAAATGGTACCAAGCAAAAAAAAATCCGTTTTTGTACAAAGTGGAAAGAGAAATACAACTTGTTGCTTGGATGCAATAAGGAGTATAAATTATATGATAGACATTATTTCCCGTCGCAAGATGTTCACAAAAGTGAACATATTCTTAGATTTGGCCCTGCGCAAGATGTTCACAAAAGTGAACATGGTTTCAGAGACTAGTATAAAGAATGTAGGCTAACCAGAAATCCCGAGCTAATAATATCCACAGCAGTACAGCAAGAGACCAACGCAAGTAACGTATATACAAGATGCGTTCCAAAGTAAACAGCACTTTTTGAATCTAGCGCCCCCTGGTTGTGCTATCTATATGTCGACTGGTGTTTTAGAATCTGCTATCTTTATCGATTGTTCAGTGAGAATTTCATGACATTTCATTGATTGGAAGTGAAGTTACTGCGTTTTAAGTGTCAGTATGTTTGTATAATCGGTGCGAAAATGAGCTTCGAACAAAGAGCCAACATTAAATTTTGTTTTAAAATTGGTAAAACTTTTACCGAAACGTTTCAATTGATGGAACAAGTTTATGGCGATGATTGCCTATCCCGTAGCAGAGTGCACGAGTGGTTTCAACGTTTTCAAAGTGGTCGTGAGGACATAAATGACGATCAACATGTGGGCCAATCAAAATTCGTGATCACCGAAAATTCCATCGAAACTGTGCGTGAATTCATCAAAAATCATTGAAATTGATTGAAATTGATGGAAATGGAATTGAACATCTCCAAAACATCGATTTATCGCATTTGACCGAACATTTGGGCTTACGAAAGGTGTGTGCACGGTTTGTTCCGCACAAATTGACTGACGCTTGTGACCGATTATTTGACCAAAAATCACATTCTAACCACTCGCGGTATTCACACCTTATATGGCACCGTGCGACTTCTACCATTTCGGAAAAATGCATTTGCCCATGAAAGGAAAGCGTTATGCAGACGTAGAGGCCATTCAAAAGGCTTGCACCGGCATACTGGCGGCCATACCGGCCAACGAGCTAAAACACTCGTTCGACATGCTTTTGGATCGTGCAAAAAGCGGTATTGAAGCAAAGGAGACTATTTTGAATAAAATAAATTGATTTTGACGAAAAAACCATTTGTTCTGTTTTTTTTTTTTAAAGTCCTGTTTACTTTGGAACACACCTTGTAAAACAAAAATTGTACAAATACTAAAGGAATTTCAGGAATAAAATTAGAATGAATTGGGAAATTTAAGCGTTTACACGGAAAGTAAGTATTAGCCTCTGGTAAGTAAGTAAGTAAGTAACTATTTACAGGGGTCTGCCACGCCTCATTCTGCCTGATACATTTTTCACCTCCCGAAAAGTTAGTATATCCTTGTGCTACATAAACATAGATATGTATAACATATCATACCAAAGTAATAATATACAAAAGTAATTTGCTATTTGCGAAAGAAACTCTTGAGAGACTTTAGAGAGAGTCGACGAGAGTAAGTAAATAAACTTATTATTGTAAGCACAAATACTTAGCCCACCAAAGACGGGAAAGACCTGCTAGTATATATATAATATGGAACCGCGTTCTATAAATGACTCAAAAATCATACCACTAACGCCTTTAGTTTTTGACTTATTTGTTCTCGTATGATTTGCGCTTCCATCTCATTCTTGGCCAACTGAATATGAGACATATGTTCGTACAGCAACATAAACCCAGATTCAACAACTGTACGACAACGTTCCTTCAAGTCATTCACAGATTCAATGGCTGCGAAATATGCGTTAAAAACAAAAAAAGATATTTTTGTAACAGTATTTACGCAAATTCTTGGGTAGGCGAAGTAGATCATCCTCGTGCACGACTAGCTTGCATTCCCCGTTTATGACAAGCGTCACAAACTTGTACCTTCCGCGTAACTTGCAAAGATCCAATGGTCCCAACATCCGTAATTTGTTCATGAAATCTGACTGCAGGTACTGCAGTTTTTTGTGCTGTGACTCCAAGGCTCTCACGCGATTCGATTCTAAACCACGAGTGCAACAGTTTTGCTTCTGTGTCAAAGCTGATTGACTAAGAGAGCGAGATTTATGCTGCTTCTGATACAGCTGCAAAGGCGTCGTGGCTGTGGTAAAGCTTAAGATTACGGTATTCAAACACGTTACTTCCATCACGTACCTTTGCATTTGATCATCTTTTCCGGAGATAAGGCTTTTAACCGGTTCATGCGCTGTTGCGTCACCAAGTTCATACGAGGTCTGCCCAACTTTGGCTTCGATCTATCTCCTTCTGTCTTTCGTTCAATTGAATCAATAAAAACTTTAGTGCCAGGAATTTGATTAGGTAACGAGCGAGTGCTAATATTAGATGGACAACTTGCTACTCCCAACTTTTTTGAACCAGAGCGATTCTTGAATGATTCTAAAGATAAACGAGAAGCGATACTCTCCGAAGAGTGATAACTTTTTTTCAAAGGACTTGCAACCAAATAACTTTGTACAGAGGACTTGTGAAGCGGAAACTATGAATACAAAATGGACAATAGCTTTAAGATCTGCATTTGTTAACTTACAGTCTTTCCAGGTGCCTCTGCTTTATTATTAGCTTTAATCTTTTCTATTGTGCCATTTTTTGAAATTTTGGTTTCAAGAAAGTTGGAAACTTTATGAGGAAATTCGACCACTTTTGATATTACGAAGAACAAATAGTATACTTACTGAGCTCAGTGTCTTTGATGTGCGACATATTCTAAGGGATTCGCTAATGAATAAAATAAAATTTTGAATTAAGCTCCTACTCAGCAGAGATCTTTTTTAAAAATTTGAAAAAATTAAAATAGGTAATTTCGAAAAATAAATTGTAGCTGGAAGCTGTTTTATATTAAATTTATTTTACTGATATATCTTAGACAACCTACTGTGATTTCGAACGTTAGGAGAGCTGAATATGTAAGCCTTATGAGCTACCTTAATTTTTATATATTCTATTAAGTATGTATGTTTCAATGTTTATACATATACTTACTTATCCTAATTCTAAAGCTATTAATCTATCAATCGTTATCAGGTAGCTGGCTGCGACTAGATACGATAAGATTGGTATTATGCTCGGCTGGGCAGAGTATTAACCCTTGCATCCATTTGCAGTGATGCAAGTTGTTTTCAGTTAAACCACAAAACACTGATAATTTGTCATCAATCAGTATTTGGTTGAATGCAGCCTCGATGTTTACAGTTCGTCCATCATTCATCCTCGGATATGGATAGATTTTGTAAGCGCTTATTTTTGTGTGGTTTATGAGTGGAATCTTTGTATGAAAGAACAGCGACGCAGTTGTTATTTTTGGGTGATTTTAGCTATTTTTATACTCTGTATATTAGATTTGCGGGAGGTGAAAATGTAACAGGCAGAAGGAGGCGTGGCAGACCCCACAAAGTATATATATTCTTGATCAGCATGACGAGACGAGTCGATCTAGCACTGCCTGTCTGACTGTCTGTCCGTCTGTCAGTCTGTCCGTCCGTATGAACGCCTGGATCTCAGAGACTATAAGAGGTAGAGACTTCCCCCCTATGGGGGTTTTCCCGATTTTCCACTCGTTTAATCGGATACCAAATTTTAGTCCGTGATGCCTTATGTAAATGCGCAGAATGTGCCCTCACCTTCGCAATTAGTGATCTTTCATAACTCCCTTAATCCTTGAAATTTCGAACTGAAATTTGCAAATACCCCCAGTTAGAGATTATGTGCCTGTTTCACTATGATAGACCAATTTATCAAGAAGTTATAGCAATAAATGTATTTGCTGCCCAAGCCCTGCCCGCAGCTATTGTTGACGCTGGTGCTTTGGTTGACTACAAACATGCTCACACAGACACGAATAGATGCTTTGTAAATGTGCAATTATACACCCTTTACGTGAGCTTGAATACCAAGAGGAGTAAAATCGATCAACATTTTTTTTTAATTTACCTAATTTTTTTTCATTTCTATAATAATTCTAAACATATGTACAGAGTATTTCAAAGTCGGGACATTTTATTTTTTATTGCAAGCGCTATCTATGCTCGTATGCATGTACATACATGTAATATTTTATTATATTACTTGAAAAAAGGTATTAAAGATGATGATCAATGCTAGACTGCTTAAACTGTTGCGGACGGTACGGCGAAAGAACGGCTGATTTCACGCGTACACGATGACGGCATTGTGACGACGACTTCTGCTTCTCAAGGCTGAATGATAACGACTTCTGTTTCTCACGGCTAAACAACGACTACTACTTCTGAACTGCAACTGACTCTTTTCTGCAACTGACTCTTTTCTCCAACTGACTCCTTTCTTCTGCTTCTCATCTATTTAAACGGCTAACTGCTGATTGGTAGGGGATGCCAATTCATCCCATCAAGACCATATTCTAACATTCGGCCATTCTGAATTAATCATCGGCCTCCGATGACCAAGGCTCCTCCTCGTTCTTCTCCACGTATTTCCAAATTTTAATGTTGTCTTCACTTGTGGCTGTATTGCTCGTTCCCTCGATGTTTGCAGTTTTGCGAACATCATACCGACCATTACGTTTGACCTTAGTTATTTCGTATGGCCGAAGATATTGACTTGCCAGCTTCGTTCCTGTTATGAATTGTGTGCGCCGGACGGCAACCAAATCACCAACTTTATAGCCATATTCTTCTTTGCGACCTTTGTCAAACTGCTTTTTGTAAGAAGCTTGAGATCGACGTATATCTTCTTTGGCCTTTTCCCGAACCTGCTGCCTTTCATCGTCAAACTTCTCATACATCTCCCTTTCGAGTAACTTTTTGATACGGGCCTCGACTCCATAGTTCATTTTGACACCAAACAACAACTCGAACGACGACCTCTTTGTGGAAACGTGTATTGTGCAGTTGATTGCTTTCTGCACCAGTGGCACGTACTTGTACCATTTAGTCGGCTCATCTGAGTACAGCTTCGAAATGGTAGATGAAACCGAACGGTTGACGCTTTCTATCTGGCCATTGCCTCTAGTACTCCAAATGTGCTCTCCTTTACGTTGTGTTCAAACATGTCGGCTGTGAATGCGGTGCCTCAATCACTTATGATCCGTGTTGGGTTACCAAAAACTGTTGCCCATTCTGTAAGTTTTTTGACGACTTCATCGCAGCTTGTTGTTTTGATTGGATAAAGCCAGACAAATTTGGAAAACCCATCCACCAACGCAAAAATGTATTTGTACAACTTCACGTTGGCGTCCATAGCCCCAAGATGATCGATGTGAAGTGTATTCAACGGTAAAACTCCTTTATCAATATGGTATAAGAAACCTTCCTTCTTTCCGGTTTTCTTATTGTGTATTATACATTTTACGCAGTTGGCAATTACATTTGAAACCATGCTTTCCAAATGCGGGACCCAAAAATTCTGCAGAATGGCGTGCATCGTCACCTGAACTGCAAAATGGCCTATATTGTGAGCATCGACGATGATGTCCTTCTCCATTTTTTTTCGGCACCACCAGAAAATCGAAGCATTTGACAGCTTTAAACAAAATCCCTCATTTAAGCTTGAAGTTTTCGTACGGCTGACTTTTGAGAATTTCACAAACGACTTTAATCATTGTATTATCCTTTTTGTGTTTTTTTCATGCGCGCCCAGAGCTTCGATGACACTAACATATAATGTTCTGGGTACCGGCTGCGAAAATCCACATGCTTCATTCGTTCGCCAGGGCGGTGCTCTACTTCAAAATCGAAGTCGTGTAAGTAGACGACCCATTGCGCTACCTCTCGAGGCACATCCTTTTTAGTCATCGTACTCTTAAAAGCCGAACAGTCGGTAATTATCTTAAATGGGGCTGCCCAGTATGTAGTGTCGAAATTTTTTGCAAGCAAGAAATACAGCCTTTGCTTCCTGAATGTAACTATGCTAACGCGCTTCTGCTTCTGTGACCTTCCTGCTCCAATAAAAAAGTGGGTGCAGTTGCCCTTCAAACCATTGTAGGAGTGCAGCCGCAAAGCCATCTTTGGAAGCATCCGTGTGTACCTCTGTTTTGGCTTCTCTGCTATAAATTCGTAGTAGTAGTTCGTTGGTCAATGCGTTTTTTAGCGCTTCAAAAGCGTGGAGCTCTGCATGCTGTATTTTGCGATCTTTGAGTAGTTCCTTATAAACTTCCGGAAAAATCCTGCCAGCCCCAGGAAAGCTTGCAACTTCTTTACGTTGTTTGGCACAGGACAATTGCAGACTGAATTTGTTTTTTCTTTTCCTGCTTCAACGGTGTGACCCAAAAAGTTTATTTTGGTTTGTATGAAATGGCATTTCTTCCATTTCAGTTTATGGCCGAAGGCTGCTGCTCTTTCAAAAACTGTTTTCATCTTGGCAAAGCACTCGTCTGCCGTTTCTCCATGTATAATAATGTCGCCCATGTACAAGTCAAGAACATTTTTGCTCATTAGATCTTGAAAAATGAAATTTACAAGGCGTATAAAAACCGCTGGCTAGTTACAAAATCGGAAAGGTGCTTTGTTAAATTCAAACAATCCATCTTGAGTTACAAAAGCGGTATATTTTCTGATGCTTTCGTCGACTGTGACATGGAAAACCCCGTTCTCCAAGTTCATGACTGTGTAGAACTTTGCCTTTCCCAATTTTTCCAGAACATCGTCAATAACAGTCACCGGGAAGCAATCTTTGAGCACCATTTTATTCAGTGTGCGAAAATCCACACAAACACGATTCGTGCCATCTTTTTTTTTGACTACGACTATCCGACTTGCAAAATTCGACGTAGAGTGCCTCATAATTCCCGCATCCAACCACTCGTTGATCTGCTTGCTCACTGCTACAATTTCGCTTACAGAACTCTGCTTGGTGCGTGGTGAAAATGTACGATATCCTCATTGGGTATAATTGTGAGTATTACGGGACACTCAGCAGCAGTATCAATAATGTTATAAATACTTATCTGATTTGTGTAGCCGGCCTTAGTCGATTTAAAGTTGAACTTGCTGATAAAGTCATAGCCCAACATAGCTTCACACTCCATCGCCTCGTCAACTACCACTAGGAACTTCTGATACACCTGCATACCGTACACCAAAACGTCTGCCATGAAGTATCCCATAGAACGAGTTACTTTGCTGCCCAAGCCTTGCAAAGTAGATATTCATTTCTTCAGCTCAGCGCCTTTTATTTTATTAAAGATTGACTTTTTCAGCAGTGAGACGTCAACGCACGTGTCAACCAGCCCGTTGAGTTTAACATTTACAATTTGCAGCGGCTTTAATCGAGTAGCGTTGTACACCATGTTAATTGTTTTTTGATTTGGGCATTCCTTCGACATGTGCCCATTTTGATTGCAGCGAAAACATTTTAAATCTGCTGTACAGTCTTTGCGCAAGTGTTCTATAGAGCTGCAGTTAAAACAGTGATGCTTCTTTTCAATTTTTCTTTGTGTGTCATTTCTGTTTTGTTTATCCATCTTCTTGCTATGTGGAAACATTTTTTTTTATATTTCTTCTGTTTCTGTTACACTTTCGTACATGTCATACTTTTCTTTAAGGTCTTTAAGCGACTGACATTGGTACAAGTTGTATTTAAAATCCGTCTGCAAATTTAAGCCTCGCACTACGTATTTGATTATAGATTTGATCTTGCCCCGTGCAGCTATACGTTTCATTTGAAGCATATACTCAGGAGACTCTCTTCTTTTTGTTTTCATCCACCTGACAATTGTTTGTGCACGTCTGCACAACAAACTCATCAAAAAGTAGCTCTG